CCTGATGTGTTAGTGCCCTATGGAGAGAGCGCTCCCCAGTGCTCCTGATGTGTTAGTGCCCTATGGAGAGAGCGCTCCCCAGTGCTCCTGGCTGCTGATGTCATCGTCGTGATGCTCTCCTAACTGTGCTTTCATTTGGGATGTGACATTTTTCTGTGGCTACTTCTCTGTCCTTATTGGAATGTACCAAAGGGAGCGTGATAGGGGCACTGTCAGGCTGGCATCGTGACGGAGTGTGAACTTCATCCTGTGAACTTTGTCCTGCTGTCAACATCTTTTTTTCTGCTTGCACTGAAGTAATGGTTTCACAAGTCAGATTAGTTACACTTCTCTCACCCGGCTAAGCAGGGTTTGAACTTGAGTCAGGAACACTTGGTCTGTAAAGTGTTACTTGATAAGACACCCTAAACATATTTTAACATGCTGTGTTTATAGCCTGATGTAAAATGTTTTACATAGAAAATATTCATAAACTTAACCTCTCTTCTTTTGCAATCTTCCAAGAAATTTCACTCTTTAGCTGACAATCGAGAATAGTCGTGCAGTTCTGAGAATCTCTCATTAATCCTCAAGGGAGCCGTTGGAAAACATTGAGCAAGATTTAAAAACTAAAATGACCAGTTGTTTGTTTATTGCCAAACCAGCAAAGTTTGTGAAAAATTGAAAATATTAATGGTTTGGACGGGCACATAACAGGCGTGTGTGTGTGCAAGTGGTGTTTGTTTGTGTGTGTGTTTAATGTTGTGATAATGCGCTACACAAAAATAAATTTGTTGTTGTTGTGTGTGCGCCTACACAAACCAAACATTTTGAAGATTTTCTGTAAATGATTCTACACTCTTGTCTAGTGCATACCCAGCCTAGAGCCCTGTCCTGCCGGTGACGGGACTTGGGCTTCCCTTGCCCTGACATGGATTTGTAGCTGCATAGGGATGGATGCGTGAATGGATTGATGGATGGAATTTTTGCCCTGATGCACTTAACAAAATGACCGGAATGAGGTATTTTAGTTGCCTAGTAACACACCGGAAAGACCTTTAAATCTGCAAGATGAGAAGCGTCCTGTCAACACACCAGTGAGCCGTCATTCTGCGGTCAGGCCACAGTCCTGACGAGGTCCCCGTCTCCGCGACAGTCACCCTGAATGTCCCCATCAGGAGCCGCTCCATCAGGGAGCAGCAAAGGGGGCCAGCGAGATGTTTCATTCAGACTGAGTGTGGGCCGGTGTGAGAGAGAGAGCCAGTCCCAACGTGTGGTTGGGCTTCTGCTGTTGTACCCCCCTGTTTAGGACGTCCTTCTTTGGGACGTCCTCTGTCTTCCTTCATGTTGACAGCCTAGGGCTGCTTATGCAAAATGATAACGAGAGCAAGATTATTGCGTTGTGAGAATTGCTCAGATGTGATGCTGTATCTGAAGTGAAAACATTCATCCGTCCATTAGTGCTTCATGCACACTGAAGCATGACACCATCTGTGGGAAGCTGTCAGAATGTGAAGGACAAGTCGAAAACGGGTGGCTTATTAACGAGATCTTAATCAGCAGTGAAGTGTGTCGTTTTTACGCCTTAGAGTCATTGGATATTTAAATAAACCCTAAAAGGCTAATCCTCCGCTAAGACGTCTCAGGATAATTACTGTTATGTAACTGATAGGCAGCCAGCTGGCTGCACGTGACGTAAACCTCAAGGTCGGCCACATAACGGCAGCTTGGGCCCTGAGTGGCACGTGGCCGTCCGGCTGCTCGCTGTCCCCAGCCCCTCCACTCTCCCCAGCCCCTCCGCTGTCCCCAGCCCCTCCGCTATCAGCCCTTACAGATGCACCTTTGACTCTCGGTGCTCGCCAGGGGCACACGGACTCCCGGCGGCGCTGTCGAACCATGCCGGTCCTGAGGTGTGCTCTGGCCCACAAACAGTCTCGGGGTACTGAGGGAGTCTCCCGGTCGGTGTGCAGAAATCCTCTGCCGTTAACGGCACCATTTGGATCACAGAATAAAAGCCTTAAATTAAAGGGGTGATTTGGGTATTTGGACTTGAAACAAGGTCTCCCCTTGCAACCTGCCCCTTCACCTCATTGGGTAAGATCCTGACTGTGGTGCCTCTATGAACATCCCTCCCCCACCTCCTGTGGCTGTGGACGTCAGGATGGGAGGTGTTCAAGACCCCCAGCCCCTGCACTCTCGTCTTGATGTCACATGACATTCTTACATGACGTCACATGACTGGTGACGACAGCCGCTTCCTGCGTCTCTCTAGCTGCCTGCAAATGCCACCGGCACCGGTTTCAGTAGCCGCTCGCGCTGGTGGGTCCTTGCGTGTCATTAAAAGGCACCTTGGGGCTTTTTCCTCTTAATGCGTCCAACACAGGATCGATCTCGTGAAAATCGATGGAAGAATTGTTCCGCAAAGTCGCCTATGACTCTGTAGCCTAACTGGCTGATCTCTCCAATAACTAACAAAGAACTAACACAACGACTTGTTCAGCCTCTGTTTTTGGTAGAAGTGTAGTTTCGTATGAAATTGTGTGTTGTTTAACCTACAAGCTTTCTGCGTCTCCCACGCTTACTTAGAATAAAGGTCCTGTTGAGCGGTGTGAAAGTGACACATGGAAGTGGTTGGGAGCTACCGAAGTTCCTGGTCGAGACCGTCCAGGAGCTTAGAACCCGGAACCAGGTTCTGGAACTTGTGTGAAAGTGCCCTCTGACAGCAGTGTATCTGGCAGGCGCCTGGCCGTCAAGCTGAAGGCCATAGGACCTCCTCTGTTTTTCAGATAATATAACTCACTTCTAACATTTTATTGTGATTTAAAGACACATTTTCTTTGTTCTTTGGTAAAATTCACTATCATAAAATGTATTATCTTCTTACCTCCTTGGTTGTTTTTTTTTGTCACCAGCCGCCACCGATCTGTAATGTTCCTCTTCCTGATTTAAAGTGTCTGGTTTGTTTTCTCTGTCGTGAGCTGTGTAATGAAGACATCCGACACCCAGACAGAGCAAATCATTCCACTTTGGGGTCTAGTGGAAGAGTGCATCTGTCCAGCTGCCACTGCATGTCCTGGGAAGATCATGTCCCGTAACTTGCTTGGCCACTTTAGTGTGTGATTGGGCTCTATGGGCTGCTAGGTTTTAAATTAGATTAGTGATATTTCATTAACCCCGTGGGGAAATTCTCTTCACCCCATCTTGCTCTCCGTGAGGCACACAGACACACACATGTGACAGTCCTGTGACAGCCACTTGCTTTTGTGTACATGCCCTCTGAGTCTCCCTGCCGATACGGGGCATCTTGGCATCGCCTACTTGCCGAACATGGCTGTAATGGGGAGTGTGTGCCCAGTTGGGCAGGACAGGAGGCGGATTTACTGGCCCAGTCACAGTGGAGTGTGCTGTCTATCTTGTGGCGTGAGAGCACGGCCTGTTCAGGCCGCGGCCGCCATCGGTGAGGATTGTCTGCAGGATAACGGGGGCTCTGGGCCCAGTGTAGGGCGGAGGCACAGTGGAGCGGTCCTGCCGGGGCTCTCCTCCCTCTGTGTCAAGCGCACTTTTCAGAACGCTCTGTTCTTTTTTTTTTTTTTATGTCACACAGTCCCATGGCCAGAACCAGCACCAGCGCATCTGTGGCTGCGGGTCCCGGGAAGGCTGGCGGAGCGGTCCACAAGATCTGCCTGGTGTGCTCAGACGAGGCATCCGGCTGCCATTACGGGGTGCTGACCTGCGGGAGCTGCAAGGTCTTCTTCAAGAGGGCTGTGGAAGGTGAGAGGGGCGGGGCGTGGGGGGCAGGGGGCAGGGCGCGGGGGGCAGGGGGGGGCTATAGGGCAAGGAGTTGGGGGAGATGTTTCTGTAAAATCAGTGATGGCCCCTGACTCCGCCTCCTGACCCTAACAGGCCCCAGCCTGCAGACGGCACCCATACACATGGGCTTGCTTTGCCGGCGGTACCTGCTGCCGCCTTGGGGTTTTCCCGGGGTCTCACACATGGAGGTCACCCTCTGCTAGCACATCGCCTGGCTTTTCACCACTTCATCTTCAGGGTGAATTACATGGATCTCATCGCTGTGGCCTGTTAAAATGTCCAGAGTTTGAGCGATTAATCGTTTATAGAGTTTTTAAATTGGACAATTTGTACAAAATGGGTTTCCATTTAAAATATTATTGTGCTATATTGAACGTTGAATTTTTAATTGTCATTGATATGGAATGAGAATCTCGGTCCATAAAGAATCCCTGCTTCTCTGTCCGAGTCTCCCTCTGAGGTAGATATTAGCTAATCCCAAAGTTAATCCCTGTTTTAGGTTATCAGTGAATCTGCAGACATCCATCTATCTTCTACAGTTAGGTCCTGCTCAGGGTGGTGGGGCCGCTGTCCCAGGCTGCCAGGAGAAACTTCGAAGCAACTTGCAGTATCATCATTGCCTAACCGAATGTTTAAGTGATGCAGTTACCGAGTGAGAACATGTGAATGAGTCTTGGCTGAGGTGTACAGAGGGCTCATGGGCATCCTGATGGTTTATAAGCTCTGTTTTGGGGGAGTTACAGTGGCTGGGGAGCCGATGTGGCGAGATGCCCTCTCTCCCTGCGTGCGGAGCCTCTTCATGTTCCTCCGCGCCGCCTTACAAAGGCTGTCCCCCTTCCTCTTCTCACACGTGCCCTTCAGATTTAATCGTGTTTTCTGACACTTGGCCTGCCGTGTGATGGTGAACAGGCTTTAATCCGCAGATAATCAGCTCCTTTTGGCTCTGCTAAAGGTCAGGGGGGGGGGCGTGCAGTGTAGTAAACAAACTGTCCCCTTTCACACGAGCGTGTGAGTCTCTGCTTCTCCTTGCTGTGACTCTGTTTCGCTCTTTTAAAGTCTAATGGGAAAAAGTTATGAAAAAATTTATTTTTATGGAAAAGCTCTGCTAGATGGATTTAAGGGTTGAACTGATTTCAGCAGTAGGCAGACTGCAGAACACTTTAATGAAAGTCCGTTTTGATGAGAGGCCTGTTACAGCGAAAGCGTTCAGTGAAGGTCATTAACATCGACCTGCGTCGGCCGCCCGCTGGGTGCGTTTTCGCAGCGTGCCATCGAGAGGAGCCCCTCCCCAGCCTGAGACCTGTGCCTGTCCTTTAAAAAGCCCGGAAGTGTCTCTCGCAGTGAAAATGGGCTGATTCGCAGTGAAAATGGGCTGATTCGCAGTGCAGACTGCGCTTTGTCCCTGCTATTCAGGGAGCTGATATTATCTGCATCAGGGAGTGTTTTCGCTGCCTTTTGTCAGCTAAATATGATGCATTATCCTTGATGCCATTCAGGGGTGCTGGGGTTGAAGCACAAGCTGTCAAACTCACTGCTATGGTGGTTAGATTGCCAGGCTTTGCCTGGATAGATGGCACCCCAGCAGGGATCGAGGGGCTGTCATGTCCCTCAGTCCTTATTTTAGGGGCCAGGTGCTACTATCTTGTCTCCCTCTGTCTGTGCTGAGTCCGTGCCTTCATAACACCTGCTCTCTTAGCTGCACATTTACGGCCCAACAATGAAATCACTCTGCCCACCCTGGGATTTGAACCAGCGCCCCTCTGGTCTCTAACCCAACATGCTGACCCGGTGAGTGAGTTGCACAGCAACATCCCCATAGCCTAAGACATATCAGCGAGATTAACTCAACCCCATGAGCCCCAGCATCGTCCTTCTGTCTCTCATGTCGCCTCTGTGGTTTTTAATGAAAAGCATGCATACACAGCAGCTGCTCTTAATGGGATTATTACTTAAAGGGGTGTAGGATTAAGATTCCTAAAATCCCTGGGATTAAGGGGGTTCATTTTTACTTCCTGAACTTCACAGTGAGGCTCCACTGCTTCCCGTCATCCTGTGAGGGTTTGCCGTCTCTCTGCTGGTTGGCCAGACCGGCCAAGTCTGTGCACAGCGCCCTCTGTGGGCCCTGCGGAGTATGCACGCGTATAGTGTGGCTCTCGCCTGCCCTCCGGCTGCCCCGAGTTGGCATACAGCTGGAAATGCATCACTTCCCTTTTACTGACCCTCTCAGCATCTGGCTGCTGGAGGGGGGACATCCAGTGAAATTTCAAACATAGAGTGGGGAGGGTGATGTCATCATCGGGTCCCTGAGCAAGGCCCCTAACCCCAGCTGGCCTAGGGACTGTCTGACTTTGTTTTCTCAGTTGTACGTCACTGGATTGGATAAACATGTCTGCTAGAATAATAAAATCTTCCCCATATTTTTCGTGGTGCTGTTCAGCTTTGCTTCTGTCCTCTTGAGGTCTCCTAATAAAAGGTGTGCAAGCACTTTAGCGTTTAGACGGTTACAATGTCGCGTTTTGGTAAGAGTGGAAATATCTGCTAAGGACGGGAGCTGCTGGCTCCCACAGGGCAGGAGCTGGTGGGCAGGTCCGTGGCTCTGGGAGATCGCAGTTGCTCACTGCGGTTTATGTCCTGCTGCGATCGCTGTGGCGTCTCTGCCCGCCCTAACCCTAACCCTCCCTTCCTGCCGTCACTCAGGGCAGCATAATTACCTGTGCGCCGGGAGGAACGACTGCATCATCGACAAGATCCGGAGGAAGAACTGCCCAGCTTGCCGTTATCGGAAATGTCTGCAGGCCGGCATGAACCTGGAAGGTACGGCTCCTCCCTCCCTCGCGGCTCGTGTGCGTGATTCGGTGCCACGTGCGGCAGCTGTGAGCTGTGCTGTCTGTACAGACGTGTAAACTGCCGACGGATTGCCAGAACCAAGCCCCACCCTCTGCTGGCAAAGCTCTCGGTCGTCATGGAAACTCTAATGGAGGACATTTAAAAGGGAATTGAAGGGTGGACAGACTAACACAAAGCCCATTACGCTGTGTGAGGGGAGCACAGATACTGGGAGGGACTAGGGGTGGGCCTGGGTGCTATATGATCCTCACCATGGGGGGGGGGTTGTGTTCACGGGTGTACAGAGACGTCCCTTAGTGCGTCGTGTCCCGGCATATCGTCACGCTGCTGGTGGCGAATGCGGGCCCAGCCTCTCTCTGAGTGGGGGAGGGTCGGAGGTTCTGATGGCTCCTCCCTCTGGTTGCAGCAAGAAAAACTAAGAAGATGAACAGACTGAAGGGGGTGCAGCCGGCGGCCATGGTGGAGCCCCCCCCTGCGGCCATGGTGGAGCCTCGCACCCTGGTGCCGAAGTCCATGCCTCAGCTCATCCCCACCATGTTGTCACTGCTGAAGGCCATCGAGCCGGAGACCATCTACGCGGGTTACGACAGCACCATCCCCGACACCTCCACCCGCCTCATGACCACGCTGAACAGGCTGGGCGGCCGCCAGGTCATCTCCGCCGTTAAGTGGGCCAAGGCCCTGCCAGGTGAGGAGTGGGCCCCGCTCACTGCCCCGCTGCGTGATGGGCCCCGTTCACTGCCCCGCTGCGTGATGGGCCCCGCGCACTGCCCCGCTGCGTGATGGGCCCCGCGCACTGCCCCGCTGCGTGATGGGCCCCGCTCACTGCCCCGCTGCGTGATGGGCCCCGCTCACTGCCCCGCTGCGTGATGGGCCCCGCTCACTGCCCC